TTGACTGCTGTGCCAGGCTAGGTGCAGGAGGAGGTCACGGGACAGACCCTGCAGGTGCCGTGGGTTGACTGCTGTGCCAGGCTAGGTGCAGGAGGAGGTCACCGGACACACCCAGCAGGGGCAATGGGTTCTAGATTTGAAGCTTTCGTGACTGCAAGGATTCATACTCTTTGTCTTTGTCGGTAAAGTCACGTAGGTAAAATAAAATAAATGAAAACAACTAAATTAAATCACGACGTTTCGGAGGCAACACAAGCTTCCGTCTTCAGGTGGAACAGTCACAGAAAAATAGCTGCATCGCTTGATACAACTATTTTACTGTATCACTTGATACAACTATTTTGCTGTGACTGTTCCACCTGAAGACGGGACCTTGTGCTGCCTCCGAAACGTCGTGATTTAATTTTAGTTGTTTTCATTTATTTTATTTTACCTACGTGACTTTACTGAATAAACCAAAGAGTAGGTGCAATGGGGTTGACTGCTGTGCCTGGCTGGGTGCAGGAGGTCACGGGACACACCCAGCAGGTGCAATGGGGTTGACTGACCGTCATTACTGGGGATATGCACCGCCTGTGCCCCCTGCTGTGTAAACTTTCTGCGTTTTATCCGCCCGGTGATCTGATCGTTGCTGTGAGTGTCGCCCCTCTGCCCTACGCTGTTATTGGAGGTGCCACTGCCTCCAATTGTTAAGATGCAAACAACGCACCGACATAATGACACTCAAGAAACGAAGTATTCCCCGTGTAGCATGAACAGATTTCAGGGGGCAATTGTTGTTAGCGAGCACCTATTAAGGCCGGCACGGTACACGAGGGGATGGCTGGCCAGAGTCACGCCCCACCGCCTTTGTCTCCCTCGTGGTGACGATGTTACACGCCGCGCCAGGTGTTCATTCGAGGCTGTGTCGACCTAGCGGAGGCCCAGAACCGCTTCTGGTATGCAGCGCAGCATGCTAACCGCTGCGCCACCGCTCCCCACATTGACATACACAGACTCAACATCGCCAGGTCATTTTGATGCACGGTTCATCGTCAACATCATCACCAGCACGATCATCCATGGGCAATCCACTGCTGGATAATAGAGCCCTCCTACCGTCCAGCCACCGCCACAGCCACCACTTCGCATGATCCACCGATGCAGCAATTGAACTGTCACACGTGCACCCAGGGGTGTTTTCATGCGCCGCTCCATCTCCCGTTGGGAGGTGCCGTGCCGTCAGACGCGATTTCCCAGGTCGGCCTGTGCTAACAATCGGTCGGGACAGCCGGCTGCGATCGCACCGTACACTGAGTTACATTCACCTCGTATGGTGCTCAGGATGCGTTCTTGATGAACGGGGCGCGGTACGGAACAGCGCTACAGGAGGCCGCTATAACGTGGTTCCTATGGAGATGCGTTGCCAACAGCACTATATGAGGCTGCTATAACGTGGTTCCTATGGAGATGTGTTGCCAACAGCACTATATGAGGTCGATATAATGTGGTGCTAATGGAGATGCGTTACCGACAGCGCAATAGGAGGTCGCTATAATGTGGCTCTAATGGAGATGCGTTACCAACAGCGCAATAGGAGGTCGCTCAAACGTGGTTCTAATGGAGATGCGTTACCAACAACACTATATGAGGTCGCTATAATGTGGTTCCTATGGAGATGTGTTGCCAACAGCACTATATGAGGTCGCTATAATGTCGTTCCTATGGAGATGCGTTACCGACAGCGCTATATGAGGTCGCTATAATGTGGCTCTAATGGAGATGCGTTACCAGCAGAGCGATAGGAAGTCACTATAACGTGGTTCTAATGGAGATGCGTTACGAACAGCACTATATGAGGTCGCTATAATGTGGTTCCTATGGAGATGTGTTGCCAATAACACTATATGAGGTGGATATAACGTGGTTCTAATGGAGATGCGTTACCGACAGCACTATATGAGGTCGTTATAACGTGGTTCCTATGGAGATGCGTTACCGACAGCGCTATATGAGGTCGCTATAATGTCGTTCCTATGAAGATGTGTTGCCAACAGCACTATGTGAGGTCGCTACAACGTGGTTCTAATGGAGATGCGTTCCCTACAGCACAATATGAGGTCGTTATTATGTGGTTCCTATTGAGATGCGTTACCAACAGCACTATATGAAGTCGCTATAATGTGGTTCCTATGAAGATATGTTGCCAACAGCACTATATGAGGTCGCTCTAACGTGGTTCTAATGGAGATGCGTTACCGACAGCACTATATGAGGTCGCTATAACGTGGCTCTAATGGAGATGCGTTACCAACAGCAGTATATGAGGTCGCTATAACGTGGTTCTAATGGAGATGCGTTCCCGACAGCACTATATGAGGTCGCTATAATGTCGTTCCTATGGAGATGCGTTACCGACAGCGCTATATGAGGTCGCTATAACGTGGTTCTAATGGAGATGCGTTCCCGACAGCACTATATGAGGTCGTTATAATGTGGTTCCTATTGAGATACGTTACCAACAGCACTATATGAAGTCGCTATAATGTGGTTCCTATGGAGAAATGTTGCCAACAGCACTACATGAGGTCGCTATAACGTGCTTCTAATGGAGATGCATTACCGACAGTGCTATAGGAGGTCGCTATAACGTGATTCTAATGGAGATGCGTTACCAACAACACTATATGAGGTCACTATAACATGGTTCCTATGGAGATGCGTTACCAACAGCGCTATAGGAGGTCGCTCTAACGTGGTTCTAATGGAGATGCGTTACCAGCAGAGAGATAGGAGGTAACTATAACGTGGTTCTAATGGAGATGCGTTACCAACAGCGCTATAGGAGGTCGCTCTAACGTGGTTCTAATGGAGATGCGTTACCAGCAGCGCTATATTACGTCACTATAACGTGATTCTAATGGAGATGCGTTACCGACATCACTATATGAGGTCGTTATAATGTGGTTCCTATGGAGATGCGTTACCAACAGCGCTATATTAGGTCGCTATAACGTGGTTCTAATGGAGATGCGTTAAAGACAGCGCTATATGAGGTCGCTATAACGTGGTTCCTATGGAGATGCGTTACCGACAGCACTATATGAGGTCGCTATAACATGGTTCTAATGGAAATGCGTTACTGACAGCGCTATAGGAGGTCGCTATAATGTGGTTCCTATGGAGATATATTGCCAACAGAACTATATGCAGTGGCTATAACGTGGTTCTAATGGAGATGCGTTACCGACAGCACTATATGAGGTCGCTATAATGTCGTTCCTATGAAGATGTGTTGCCAACAGCACTATATGAGGTCGCTATAACGTAGTTCTAATGGAGATGCGTTACCAACAACACACTATGAGGTCGCTAAAACGTGGTTCTAATGGAGATGCATTCCCGACAGCACTATATGAGGTCGTTATAATGTGGTTCCTATTGAGATGCGTTTCCAACAGCACTATATGAGGTCGCTATAATGTGGTTCCTATGGAGATTTGTTGCCAACAGCACTATATGAGGTCGCTATAATGTGGTTCCTATGGAGATGCGTTTCCAACAGCGCTATATGAGGTCGCTATAATGTGGTTCCTATGGAAATTTGTTGCCAACAGCACTATATGAGGTCGCTATAATGTGGTTCCTATGGAGATGCGTTACCAACAGCACTATATGAGGTCGCTATAATGTGGTTCCTATGGAGATGCGTTGCCAACAGCAACATAGAAGGTCGCTCTAACGTGGTTTCAATAGAGATTCATTACCAACAACGCTATAGAAGGTCGCTATAACGTGGTTTCAATGGAGATGCGTTACCAACAGCGCTATAGGAGGTCGCTATAATATGTTTCCTAAGAAGATGCGTTACCAGCAGCGCTATAGGAGGTCACTAGAACGTGGTTTCTATCGAGATGCGTTACTGACAGCGCTATAGGAAACAGCGCTTTTGGAGGTCAATATAACATGGTTCAAATGGAAAGGCATTACAGACGTCGCTAGATATTTTTTGTGCCTACAAGCAATATATGAGGGCTTCATTGGTTTATCAGTTATAGCCGTAGTAACGATACTGTACACATGATAAACGTACTAAAGCCACCCACAAACTCTCACTCATTCACACAATCACTCACCCACCCAACCACCCACTCACACACCTACCAGGGCCGTATTATCCAATAGGTCACAGTAGACACTATGCTTCAGGCCTACTCACCCACCCACTCACCCAGCCACCCACTCATTAATTCACCCACTCAGTTGCTCGCTCATTCACACAATCACTAACCCACCCACTTACCCACCCACCAGGGCAATGTTATCCAATAGGCCACAATAGGCACTGTTCCTCAGGTCTACTCACCCACCCACTCACCCAGCCACCCACTCATTAATTCACCCACTCAGTTGCTCGCTCATTCACACAATCACTAACCCACCCACTCACCCACCCACCGGGGCCATGTTATCCAATCGGCCACAATAGGCACTGTGCCTCAGGTCTACTCACCCACCCACTCACCCAGCCACCAACTCATTAATTCACCCACTCAGTCGCTCACTCATTCACACAATCACTCAACCACCCACTCACCCACCCACCAGGGCAATGTTATCCAATAGGCCACAATAGGCACTGTGCCCGGGGCCTATGACAACTCAGAACGTAACCAAGATATCTTCTTGAATAAATATATTTTATAAAGCAACGATGGGCATGGTGCAGAGACAAAGAAAGGCAAAGTCATGTCAATAGCAATCTTTTTTTTTTGATAATGCGAGAGAGAGAAATGAACTTTTCGAGATGTTGTTATTTTTTTTCTCAACTGTATAAGGTTATCAGCGGTGGCCCCCTCCCAAAAACAGAAGTGCCCACAACAACCTTAATCCCCGCCTTTCTCACAAACTGACCTCACCCAACCCCCCCCCAGTCCTAATCTCGCGTCGCCTCCTCTCTCTCTCTCTCTCTCTACGGGGCCACGCCACGCCGCTCGCGCAGTGTCGCGGCAGGGACCAACCCTGGCCCCGCAGAGCCTCAGCGCGCCGCGCTTGATCCTCTCCATCCTCACGCCGTACACCACGGGGTTGAGCACGAAGGGAGCGGTGCAGAGGAGCGCCTGCACGGCGGAGCGGGCGCCCTGCGCCGACGCGCCGAACGCGACGCCGTTGGCGAGCGACAGCAGGATCGCCGCGTAGAAGATCGCCACGACGATGAGGTGCGTGCCGCACGTCCTCACCGCCTTGCCGATGCCGGCGCTGCGCAGGCCGGGCCTGCGGCACTCGACTAACACGAGCGCGTACGCCGCGGCAATGGCGAGCGCCGGCAGCGCCACGGTCAGCGCCGTGATGGCGTAGCTCAGGGCCGCGTGCGCGCCGAGGTCGTTGCCGCCGCACGACATCGACGCGATGCTCATGAAGTCACAGAACGGCGCGCGGATCACGAGCGACGCCGCGCCGCTGCCATTGCCGCCGCGACATCGGTAGCCGAGGCGGGCGACCGTGGCCACGTTGGCCGCCACCATCGCGGCCGACGCCAGGGCGGCGGCCGCCGTGGACGCGAGGGCCCCGCGGACCGAGACGAGGGCGCCGTAGCGCAGCGGGTGCACGATGGCCACGTAGCGGTCGACGGCCATGAGGGCCAGCACGTATCCCTGCGTGCGGATCGATAGGTGGACGAAGGCCATCTGCGCCACGCACTCGGCCAGCGAGACGACGGCGGCGCCGCCCGCCGCGACGTTCGCCAGGAGGCGCGGCAGGACGGCGGAGGAGGCGGCCACGTCGGTGAGGGCGAGCGCGCCAATGAGGGCGTACATGGGCCGGCAGCGGAGGCCCCGGTCGCGCGCGATGACCGCGACGAGCAGCACGTTGCCCGCCGTGGCCGCCGCGTACGCGGCAACGGTCGCCGAGAAGGCGGCGAATTGGGTGGCGGCCGAGGAGGAGGTGGAGATCGGGGAGAGCATGAGCACGGGGAGGAGGAGGAGGAGGGGGGGGAGCGGCTCCGATGGTCCCGGGGTGGGCGAGGTGGCGGCAGTGGCGCTGCCATTGGCGGCGGCGGTGGTGGTGGTGGTGATGATGCTCGAGTTCATGGTGCTTTGGGTGATCTGAAGAAAGCGGAGTGCGGAAGGTTCTGGAATTAGCTGTCGCTCCCCCAACAACAACCACCACCACCACCATGGTGAGCAATGGTCACACCGCAGTCGTACCCGGGCCCTTCGAATCTTCTGACCCAACGTCGAAGGCCCTATCGGCAGCAAAGCCACAGCCTCGTTGAAGTCCTTGCTGTCCAATGCTCCACCGACATCATTTGCCTGCGAGCAAACCCCACATTGGAACAGAAGAGGCCGGGCCGCTGCTCCACCGCGGGCCACGACCTCCCTGCCCTACTGCCTAGACGCCAAGCATGGCAACGCCACCTACGTCTGAAACCGCCACAGCCATCAAGCAACAACCGAACACCTGCTCAGACACCCCGGCAAGTTGGCAGGTTCCACAATATCCAATAGTCGACTTGCAACCCCCTCCCCACTGCCTCTAGTGCGAGCTGGGAACAGCAAGTCCTGCCCACCCTCCCCCACCCAGCCATCTACGTAGGAGGGACTTTAACGGCCACCATCCAGACTCCGGCGCTTCCCGTTTGCGGACAGCTGTGTGTGTACTGTGTATACTGTGTGCGCTACAGGGCCGGCAGCTGTCTCAAACACGTAGATACAAATAAAGACAACGATCCCCCCGAATAGCCTTAACAGACTGTTGGGCCAAGTGCTGTTAGCGAGCACCTATGATGGCCGGCACGGCACAAATTTGGGGGTGTTGGGGGGTGGCTAACATCACGTCCGATCGCCTTTGCCTCATCAGTGTTGATGTTTAAATACCACACCTGGTATTTATTTGACGCTGAGTCCATCTACGGGAGGCACAGGACCTGTTCGGATAATCGTCACGGGCTGTTGGTGGCCGTGAGCGGGAATCGAACTCGGATGGCTGAGGTTCATAGCGAAGTGCGCTAATCAGTCAACAACAACAACAACCACCTTTCGCCACTCAGTGGCGGTGAAGTCACCACAACGCTTGTGCCAGGCTAGGCGCCCGTTGAGACCACGTGAAGTGTCTAGCTCCCGCTGGCAGGAGTTCATGGGACAGACCCAGCTGCCATGGGTCGACTGACTGAGATGACTGACCCATCCATCACCTGTGCCCCCTATTGTGTCAAATTGCTGTGTTTTATCCACACGGCGATCAGGTTGTTGATGTGAGCGTCGCTCCTCTCTTTCATGGATTTTTGAGCTCCTCTTAATCCAGCCTGGTTAAACCCATGATGGATCGTAGGCAGGCCAGCCTGAATGTTTCTAACCTGAAGCTTAGTGCGAAGTGACATATCAGGTAGCTTCCACACAGCTTTACACAGCCGATGAAAAGATAATGCCACTCTGTTGTCAAACCATTAGCACACTGCCCAGGTATGGAAAACGTTCCACCCTCTGCACAACTGCCCCGTCACTAATTGGGATATGTGGGGGTCGAGTTTTTAATGGTACAAATACCCAGGCAGGTGCTTAGTTTTGGTAGGGCTGATGGCAAGGATCCACCTCTTAGTGGCATGCTCCAGGTTCAGCAGCAGCGCATTCAACTTCTCTGAGTGAGCAGCAATCACAAATCATCGGCATACGTAACATGGTTGACCAATAGGGAACCATCCCTTGACCGCACCCGGGCATCGATCAGCCTCCTGTTGTATCTGTACCCGATGGAAATTCCTCCGGTACAGCCATCGAAGGCTTCACGAACTACGTGGTCGAAATAGATGTTAAATAATGTGGGAGCCAGAGGACATCCCTGTCGCACTCCAAGGTGAAAAGGGAATGTCTCTGCCTCCTGGCCACGTAGTTTTACTCGGGCCTGCTCACCATCATGAAGGTCCTTAATGATTTTGAGCAGAGTGTTAGGGACTCAGAAAGCACCAAGAACAACCCAGAGCCCAGGCCTACTGATGTTATCATAGGCTTTGACCAGGTTCATAAAGCAGAGATGTAGGTTCTGTTGGAATTCCCTACACCTCTGCTGTAGCAGTCGGACAGAAAATATGGCATCTGTGCAGGACCGTGCTTTCCTGAAACCACATTGAGGCTCCGCAAGCCTCTCCTCATCGTTTCTGGCAAGGCGATATTCAATAATCCTTGCCTGGCACACTGAGATGCCTCTCTGGTTATTACAGACTATGCAGTCCCCCTTCTTAAAGAGGGAGACCACCAGGGCATCCTTCAAATCTGCACACAAACGCCAGCCCTCCCTCAGCATTTCGCTTGCGAGATGATCTCAAGGCACACATGCACATACATACACACAGATACACGTAAAGAGATACAACATTGTGCGTGTACTGTTTGCGCCATTTGGTATGCAGATGTCTCGTGCACTACTCGCTTGAACTGCTCACACACAATTTCGATTTAAAGCTTTCGTGACTGCAAGGATTCATCTTCTTTGGTTCTTTCGGTAAAGTCACGTAGAATGAGAATAAAATAATAAAATAAACCAATAAAATTCTCACGACGTTTCGGCCACAACACAAGTGGCCTTCTTAGCAGCGTTCATTATAGCTCTGTCGTCCCGACAGGTCTGTTCCTTTCACCTGAAGAAGGCCACTTGTGTTGTGGCCGAAACGTCGTGAGAATTTTATTGTTTTATTTTATAATTTTATTCTCATTCTACGTGACTTTACCGAAAAAACCAAAGAAGATGCTCACACACAGTTCGAGCAGAGCCTGATTCTGCTGCTGATGAGATACTGAATATCGAAACCGTTCCTTGCCTACAAACATCTGGGCAGTCCACCAGCGTTGGTTCGACCAGAGCCCGATCCTGCTGCTGCTGATGAGACACCGAGTGTAGAAACCGCTCCAGAGTGTTGTTGTTCATCTGCAAACTATGCTGCTAAAAAAGCAATGACGTTCAAAGGCCGCGCGTGCTACTTGCTTACCGGATGGGTAAATGATGAAAAATATCCATAACAGACGTTTTTGGGTTGGATCGCGTAAATATACGAATTGGCACGTTCTGTTTAAGTGACAACCCTTTCCAGTTGTCTGTGTCGAGTGGTGGCGGGTTTTAACGACACAGCATTTATATATTTAAGTGATCTAATCCCAAAAAAAAACCTCTATGATGGACGATATTGGGCGCGTGTTAAACAGATAAAAAAAATTTGTGTAGTTTATAAGTGAAGTGGTATTTATCAATATGTATTTTAAGGGGGACGTTGTCGCCCATTTGCCTACAACCCGTGGCTTACAGTCGTGGTGAGTAGTGGCGGATCATTTGTTTTTTCATTTCCGATAAATTGAATAACGTATTTTTTTTTACGTTCCCATCCCTGTCAACCCCTTTTCAGTACCCTACCTAATGACAGACCAATTCAGACCTCATTGGTCACCCCGTTCCCCTTACAAATCTCAACGTTCATCCTATACACTACACTATACACTACTATGCACTACACCATCCACTACACTATACACTACTATACACTACACGATACACTACTATACACTACACTATACACTACTATACACTACACTATACACTACTATACACTACAATATACATTACACTACTATACACTACACTATACACTACTATACACTACACCATCCACTACACTATACACTACTATACACTATACGATGCACTACTATAAACTACACTATACACTACTATACACTACAATACACTACACTATACACTACACTATACACTACTATACACTACACTATACACTACTATACACTACTATACACTACTATACACTACACTATACACTACTATACACGACACTATACACTACTATAAACTACACTATACACTACTATACAATACACTACACACTACACTATACACTACACTATACACTGCTATACACTACTATACACTACTATACAATACACTATACACTACTATACAATACACTATACACTACACTATACACTACTATACACTACTATACACTACACTATACACTACTATACACTACACCATACACTAGACTATACACTACTATACACTACTATACACTACACTATAAACTACACGATACCCTACTATACAATACACTTCTACAAACCTGTCCACTCCTTATCAGTGCCCTACCTAATTACAGACCATCTCAGACCGTATTGGTAACCCCGTGCCCCTTATAAATCTCAATCTTGATCCTACAAAGTCCCACCAGAATAGAGAAATACAAACAAAGAGACATTTATTTTTGCCCATATTGAAACGGCTGTACACGCTATGGACCTTACAACTCAATCTCCCTATAACACGTAGGCTTTCGCGACAAATATCATCCATAATAAATGTTTTTTGGGGAGTAAGATCGCGTTAATATATAAATCCTGTGTCGTTAAAACCCGCCACCACCCGACACAGCCAACTAGTAAGGGTCGTCACGTAAACAGAACGTGGCCAATTCGTCACTAGTACAGCACTAGTGTGTAGTAGTGTAGTGTATAGTGTATAGTAGTGGAGTGTATAGTAGTGTAGTGTATAGTGTTGTGTATAGTTTAGTGTATACTAGTGTAGTGTATAGTGTAGTATATAGTGAAGTGTATAGTAGTGGAGTGGAAAGTGTAGTGTATAGTGAAGTGTATAGCAGTGGAGTGTATAGTGTAGTGTATAGTGAAGTGGAGAGTAGTGCATAGTGCAGTGTATAGCGAGGTGTATCGTAGTTGAGTGTATCGTGTAGTGTATAGTGTAGTGTATAGTAGTGTATAGTAGTGGAGTGTAATGTGTAGTGTATAGTGTAGTGTATAGTGAAGTGTATAGTAGTGAAGTGTATCGTGTAGTGTATAGTGTAGTGTATAGTAGAGTAGTGTATAGTAGTGGAGTATTAAGTTGTAGTGTATAGTGTAGTGTATAGTAGTGGAGTGTATAGCGTAGTGTATAGTGAAGTGTATAGTAGTGG